ACCAATTTTTATATTTATTACTGAAACTCTGTAGGTCAAATTAATTTCCAGCTGACAATGACAAGTTGCACATTTCCAAATCAATGGTTTAAGAATTTATTTTTATTCATCAACAAAATAATTATGAAATAGAACAGTTGTTCGACATTGTTCAAAGTTTTTTGGCCATAAAAAACTTATTAAATATTTCATCCTCATGAAAAGTTCTTAAATTTTGACATGGCTTATTTCCAATACCTGTGACCATCCACAACATTTTTAATGTGTTTCTATTAATTAGGACATTTTCTTGCCTATTTTCAAACTAATTTTGTACACACGTTAGATTTTTTTAATTCAACTTGTCAAAAAAATGTCTTTTTTCACTAAGTTGAAATTATTTCACTAAAATGCTTTATGAATACGGCCCCAGGTTCTTGTTCACAATGTCAGCTTAAAAACTGAAGGAACTGCTGCCAAAATCAGCTGATTTCTGAGGGAAAAAAAAAGAAAATAAAAAGGCAAAACTGTCTAGTCTGTCAATCTGTGAGAGTTTAGCTTTAGGACGAATGATTTCATAATATTAATTGATGAGTACATAAAAACAAAATGTACAAAAAATGTCCCAAGAAATGGTTATAAAATCAAATGAATTGTTTGTCATAGAAGATATTTAATAAACATTTTTTTCTACATTCTCAGTGGTGTTTGTATTGCAAATACTATTGCCTTAAGGTATAAAACTTTTTTGTTTTAAATGAGTAAGATCTGCTATACATTTCCAATATCATGAACGCTATAATTAAAGAAAACTTCTAAAAAGGCATCTTCAGCCAAACATGCAATATATAAAACTTTTTTGTTTTAAATGAGTAAGATCTGCTATACATTTCCAATATCATGAACGCGCTATAATTAAAGAAAACTTCTAAAAAGGCATCTTCAGCCAAACATGCAATATTCATTTCAATGTAATAAGGAAAGGTATTTGAAAGGTTTGACACGTACAAAAGATATATACCACGGGACACTAAAATGTTTTATTTATGTGCTGATTTGTCATGTGCCATTTTTTCATGTACTGCAACTTCACAATAAGCTGACACTCTAGACAGTTTTGACATTTTATTTTTTTTCCCTCAGAATCAGCTGATTTTGGCAGCAATTTCTTCAGTTTTAAGCTGACACTGTGAACAGGAACCTGGGCCGTATTCATAAAGCATCTTAATGAACAATTTCAACTAAGTGAAAAAAGACATTTTTTTGACAAGTTGAATTTAAAAAATCTAACGTGTGTACAAAATTAGTTTGAAAATAGGCAAGAAAATGTCCTAATAATAAAACACATTAAATTAATGTTGTGGATGGTCACAGGTATTGGAAATAAGCCATGTCAAAATTTAAGAACTTTTCAAGAGTATGAAATATTTTAATAAGAAGTTTTTTATGGCCCAAGCACTTTGAACAATGTTGAACAACTGTTCTATTTTATAATTATTTTGTTGATGAAAAAAAAAATAAATTCTAAAACCATTGATTTGGAAATGTTGCAACTTGTCATTGTTCAGCTGGAAATATAATTTGACCTAACAGAGTTTCAGTAATAAAATATAAAAATTGGTTAAATCGTTTTGTATATTTTCTCCATGAGTGCAAATGGAAATTTTAAAAACAAAGGACGTAACTTGGTAAACTGAATCCGAAACCGCAATACGGACTTTGAGAATAACTGTAGCGCCACCTGTTAGCATAATTTGGGTGTCAACCATATTATTACCCAGATGTCCGCGTTGTATTAGTGCTTGCTGCATTCGGCTTTCGGCTATGCGCATTCTACCTTTGACATTGTCATTCATGATAAATAGACCCCCAAATACAAACAGTTGCAGGGTTAAAATTTTTTTTTATTGAATTAATATATTCCAGATCAACAAAATGAATAAAAAATTGATCGTTTAAATTTAACGAACATCAACATAAAATTAAGGTAGAACACAGCAGAAAGCATAATGTGTGTAAGAAAGCAACATGTTAAAAGTCAGAATGCAAGATGTTATATGTCCAAAACAAAAAAATTTTTACCAAGTTTGGAAACAAAATGAAAATTTTTAAAGAAACCAAAAAGGTTAACTAAGAAAGAATTTTGGCCCCAAAACACCCTAACAAATGTTTAAAAAACTTTCCCTTTTTAAAAAAGGTTTTAAAATAAAAAATTCCCAAAAACCCTTAGGAACTTTAAAATTTTCAATTTTTGGGAAAAATTTTTCCCTACCGCGTTTTTTGAAAAGTTTAAATTTTTCCCCAGATAAAAGGAAAAATTAAAAAGGGAGTAAGGAAAAATGTTTAAAAAATTTTACCGGAAAATTAAAATTAGATTAGATTTGGGGTTTTTAAAAAATTTTTATTTTTGTGCTTGGTTTTGGGTAGGACAAAAATTTGGGTTTTTCCTAAAAAATAAAAAAATTCTTTAAAAAATTAATTCCAATGCCGCAGATTTTATCTCTTTATTGTCTCATTAATGTGCAGATTGGACAGTTTAAAAACGTTTGAATCGAGAGACCAACGCATTTTTTTCCCATTCCGATATTATTTAAGCATGCCTAGATAAAAGTAAAATAAAAAACGTTAGTCATTTTGTTTAGAAAACGTTTATTAACGTAAATGACCAGTTGAACCTATTTTCCTGTTGGTAAAATGCGTTTGAAAAAATAAAACAATGTTACAGTATAGAGCGAAGCGAATTTTGCAGGGTAACAGCATAGACCTAGCGACTTTGATCCAATTTTGTTACGGTTTATACCCAGATTTCGGTTACAGTTTAGATACTTGCCAAAAATTTCAAAAAAAGTTCGTGTATCCATTATTTTTATGAAATAACTCATACCTTTCTATTTAATACATTATTGAAAGGTTGTACATGTATTACTTTTTTTCTTCAGCAGAAAAGTTATAGTTTGCTATTTTCCTTACCCTTGAGACTTTTTGCAGAATAAGTAATTAATGTCCCAAGTAAGGACTGTTTTCACGACAACAACAGTAACTTTTATCAAATTGTATTGAGAGAAGAAAGGTAATTGCCTGATTTCATTACACATTATAACAATGCCTATTATTAATAAAATAGAGAAAAAAGAATCCTTAACAGAAGTCCAACACGGAAAACATGAAAATGTTGCAGGCTCAGTTTGATTAAACCTGTTCATGGACGGTAGTGATAACTGCAAGCTACCGTCCACGCCTAGCACCGGCTTCAGCAGAATTCACATTAAACGTGAACTGGTAAACTTTAGATTTTTTAACATCTGTGGATGTGTTCATAAGGCGGTTATCATAGAACATTCAATGTATCACGTTATTGTCATTCTATGAAAGGCGGCATAATACCCCCAGGTTAAAAATTGCGTGTGCCTTAAACGAGAAATACAATGAGTGGAACTAAATAAAATGAAATTTTGAGAGGGGATCGGAGATTATGAAGCCTGCATACCACAGATAAGCTGTCAAAAGACACAATTAACAAGCCAGGCAATACCCTAATGATTTAAGTGAGCAATACTGCAACCTTAAATTCTATTTTAAGTTGGAGTTTCCATCTATAATAATGTATTTTGTAAATATTTAAAAAAAGGTTTTGTATGTTTGGCTTTCTTGGATTTTAAGTTTCCATGTGAAAACATTCCTGCTTTAGTGTAAACAAAGGCCCATATACCCTTTGTGAAACATTTCAGACACGAGCGGGCATCTGACTAGAACCACCGGCCTTCCGTAAAATAGCTTGATTAGATTCCTCACATACATTGAAATCAAAGTCATGATGGGATTTTCAGCTACAGCGGTATAAAAATGAAAAGATTGATTTGAAGTCGACGGCCTTATCCCGACTCTGCCACTATTATGTACCTTGCCATCAGGCTCACTAGAGAAGATATTGTAATTGTCTGACCTTAAGTTATACTCTAGCTATAACTTTTAATATATATTTTTTTCTTTTTTTTCAGAAACATGAAGGATGTCTGAAATAAAAAAACGACTTTTAATTAAATAATGAAAAAATAATCGTAACTTTAACAAAGATATGTATTCGAAATGACGCCATGAACATGATTTGATTTTGAATGCTTTTGGTTCGAGATGAGAAGGGTCTTTAAACATTGCCTTTTCCAAAATCTATGTTTTGGGTTTTTCGTATCCCCGATTGCAACCGAAACCATTTGAACAACTTAATTGGTAGAAAGTCATGTAAATTTTCATCACATTTAGTCAAGTAGTTACTGAGCGGATATAAGATTGCACACACATGTGTACGGCAGAGACGGACGAATAGCCATCGGGCCAATTATAAGCTCACAGAAATCTAAAAGTCTATGTAACACTCAGTCATACATTAAATACCTAGTATATATAGAAAATATCGAAGTCTAAACTGTAACAAAATGGAATAAAAATTGCTAGGCTGCACAAATCACATCGCTCTATACTGTAACATTGTTTATTTTTTCAAACGCATTTAACGAACAGGAAAATAGGTTCAACTGGTCATATACTTTTATAAACGTTTCCTAACATAAAGGACTAACGTTTTGCAGATTTACTTTTCTAGGCATGCATAAATAATGTCGAAAATTGGAAGAAAATTGCGTTGGTCTCTCGATTCAAATTTTCAAACTGTCAAATCTCATATTTATGAGACATTATAGAGATAAATCTGCGGTGCAGAGTCTAAAAGAAATATATGACTAGATACCGGATTCGATTCCTTACAAGCAAAGCACAAAAACATCTTTTAGAAACTAAACTACTTGTAGTATGGACCGGAATAAATAACACCTACCTGTCCTCCCCGTAAATAATCCTCCATCTTTAAAATTCTATACTGTAACCAGAGAAACGCGAATACTGTAACACGTTCCCTACGGTGATATGGGCCCTGACGTATTCAAATAAACCATCTACGCAGTGATCTACCCTGATAAAGGGGAAGTAACCACTGAGGAGTTAGTCTGGAGTTCCTTCCCCTTTCGCTACGCAAACTTGTTAGATGCCGGGAACCAGAATACTGAGGAGTTTGTAATTTTCCTTGTTTCTAATTTAAAGAGTATCTGAAACGAAATTGCACGCTCGAAACTGCCCGTTATTTGTTATAACGCCCGTCAAATAATTATTGTAAAATAGATCTTTGTAAACCGCCCTGACATCTAAAACTTGGATAAAACTTATTGATGTCACTAACCACGCTCATGTAAGAGATACAGAGATACAGCCTTACAGGTAGCCTGGAACCCCGTTGTATCGATCTATTTACCCATAACAACTTAAAAAAATTAAATCATCCTGAATCTTTATTTTGTATAATTTATTTTGATCCTTTTGTCATAATATTTACATGATAAACATCACTTAGATCTATATATAGTATTAAGCTTTAGAATATACGGATATTTACAGACATGTCGAACAGGTTGCAGGTCACTCCATTATATCGATGCATTGTGAAAATCGCTCAGTTAGTCAAAGTTTGGGAAGCCTGAGCCATCTATATGTTAAATTTTTTAATCAATTAGAAACAAAAATTCTGTTTTAGAATGTCAGCATAAATCTAGGAACTTTTTACAGACAGTAAATGTACTTTTAATAAGAACACACTATTTATAAGTCTATTTATTATCTACAAATAATATGAAATTAGGCAAAGCCTATGATCGGGGAAGTCGTTGAAAATTCCTTTCATTCTTTCCGTTTTAAAGGTGTCATTCGGTATTGCATGCACCGCTTCCATTTTCACTCGGACCACTCGACGATTATCATTTATCCGAAAAGTTGAGATTTGTTCCGTTATCGGAATACCCCGCCTATTATCATTGAGTTACATTGTAAATGGCAGCGCCCGACTAGAACTGACACTGAAAATTTCATTGATAGGTATAGAATTCTATATATTTTTTAATTGTTTTTTATTTGATTTTCTTTTAAATATACACGTGTAGTCTATAGCCGGGCAAGCCAAAGCCCGGACCCGCTTCGCGGGTCCGGTCTTTGACTTCCCCGTAATATGAAATTAGGCAAGGCCTATGAACGGGGAAGTCGTTAAAAATTCCTTTCATTCTTTCCGTTTTAAAGGTGTCATTCGGTATTACATGCACCGCTTCCGTTTTCACTCGGAACACTCGACGATTATCATTTATCCGAAAAGTTGAGATTTGTTCCGTTATCGGAATACCCCGCCTATTATCATTGAGTTACATTGTAAATGGCGGCGCCCGACTAGAACTGACACTGAAAATTTCATTGATAGGTATAGAATTCTATATATTTTTTAATTGTTTTTTATTTGATTTTCTTTTAAAATATGATAAACAAGATCAACAAGGAAAGGCGGCGTTCAATGAACGCAACCCCCACATGACCCAGCAACAAGAACCAATGGCAAGGAGCCCAGGGGGACCCCAAACAAAAACAGGACAGGGCAATGACAGAGCACGGACAGGTTAATCATTAAATGATAATTAATTTGTAACTGATTAGGAATTTAAAGAAAATAAAAATAGGCCCACAAAGGGGAAGGGGACAGGAGACCGGGGGGGGAGGGGGTGGGGAGTAACCAAAGAAATAAAAACTAGAGGCAATGGGGAAGATACTTACCGTAGACGAGAAAACAACAAGGGACACAAGCAAAAGTGTCACCAAAACAGTATGAAACAACATAAGACATACATCTGAGGAACACAGTGGGGCGCCGCCTTGGAACGGTCAGCAGCATAATAATGACTGCTGGGGAGTTTAAACCGGTTAATGGTGCACCAAACCTCGCTCTTAGCCCCACCATGTTCCTGTAAACGAGACAGTGTAAATAAAATGAATCCCCGCCAAGTGAAATTCTAACAGTTGTCATGGTTACAAAAGGTTAAATAAGTAAAACACTAAAATGATCATGTAGAAACATATAAAAGTAAACCCAATGACCATAACAAAAGTACTCAATGTCCTAAAACAAGACAGAGCAACAAGAAAATCACCTACAAGGGCCCGACGAAGCAAGGCAGAAGACGAACATTAAGACAATTCAGTCCCAAAGGGCTTTACAAACTATCCATCATAGAGTCTCCCACTTGGTCCGTCAGATGCAATCAAAAGAGGAAAGCGTAGTGTCCAACTGTAAAAGGGTTGAACACTAAACATGCAGTATGTCTTAAAATAGTAGGGTCATAACCTCTTTTAATAAAACGTTTAATGATTTTAGAAAAAACAGCAGAAAAATTAACATGACCCAAAATCTTACGAAGTTTGTAAATCACATCGCCATAAAAACCAGGCTGGCTAATCCCTTGTCGCAGAAGAGTTTTAAAATCACTATTGAATTTGGAAATTAAATCAAAGTTACGATTGTAAAATTTAGTAAAATATTTCCGTAATTTATGATAGCGGTAGCCCTGTTTTAGAAGCTTGCTGGTAATAAAAATGTTCCGCTCGTTGAAATCCTTTACGTTGCTACAAGCTCTAGCGAATCTAATTAACTGGGAAACATAAACCCCGTAAGATGTTGCATGGGGTACGTCTCCATCTAAATGTGGATAATTAACTATACAAAAGTCAAAGTCATCTCTTTTATCATAGATTTTCGTGTGAATAGAATTGTTGTTGATAGTAATATGAAGATCCAAAAATGATGTACTAAAATTTGAAGAGTTCGTTTTAATAAGTTGTAGTTCATGCGGATATATGTCAGACACCATTTGATCAAAATAAGGATTATCTAAATTAAAAATATCATCAAGGTATCTGGAAGTATTATTAAATGCGACTATAACATCTTGTTGTTTATCTTCAGAGAGACTCAACATAAAGTCTCTTTCATAGCAGTACAAAAACAAATCGGCAACCAGGGGTGCACAATTAGTACCCATAGGAATTCCTATGATCTGTTTAAATAGGTTATCACCAATCCTGACATAAATGTTGTCTAAAAGAAAAGAGAGTGCTCTACAAACTTCGTCACAAGTCCACATAGTATAATGTTTTACAATACCGTTAGTAAAAAAAGCTTTGTTAGAATTACATGCTAGAAAGGTAACTTTTTCCCCTGCAAAAGTTTTCTGAATTAGGGAAATTAGTTTATCATTGATTAATTTATGTGGCAAAGTTGTATAAAGTGTAGAAAAATCGTATGTACTGACAGTTGAAGCTTGAAAGTTCTTAATTTTGAATTTATCCAAGATTTCACCAGAATTTTTAATTGACCAAAAGAGATGTTTGCCTGTGTTTTCATAGACTTTATCACAATATCTAATTACATGTGTTTAAATATACACGTGTAGTCTATAGCCGGGGAAGCCAAAGCCCGGACCCGCTTTGCGGGCCCGGTCTTTGACTTCCCCGTATTACATGTTTTTTGATCATTTTTACAGCACAAAAACAAATGTGAAAGATTTTCGTGACATTGTTGTGTATGTAAACAATCAGTAGGTGGCACATTTTGCAAGAAATTGAAAGATTTGTAAATAGATCGATACAATGAATAGCACGATACAATGGGGTTTCACTATACGCCATACAGGTTTGTCCTATAAAATATGATCGCTTTGAGATATTTTTGCTTCTGGGCAAGATTTACAGACACTTCACCCACAGACACTTCACCCTAAGCCCTTTTTTGCAGAGACTTCACCCCTCAGACAGGCCAACCCTCATTTTAAAATATTTGATTGAGACACTTCAGGGCACTCGTTTGGTTGTTTTTGGGGCCGAATATGGGTAGATCTACCATTCCCCTCTCAAAATCATATGTATTTTTCCCCTATCTCAGAAAAAAATCCCCTCCAAATTCTAAAATAAAGCCACATAAAGTAATTTGTTTGATTTGTTAGTCTAAATTAAAAAAAAAATACACTAGCAATTGATTTCAATGGTAGGAAAATTACAAACTATTGAAACCAATGGTAGGAAATAGTGTAATGAGAAAATGTGATAAAAAAAATACACTAAATACATAATATCTATTAACATAAAATTTCAAATTTTTTCTTAAAACGACGCAAAATATACCTTTCCCCAAAAGGTGTCTAGTGCCCTGCACTTTACCCCCATTTTTATTTTGTGTTAAACAATTATTTATGTAGAAACTGTTAAATGTATTCAATAGTGATTGCGTATAATCGGTTCCTATGATATCACAGTATTTAGATTTTCTGTGACTGCTAGTAAAAGCACCACCACCATGCTAAACTGGCATACTAACTTTATTTTCATCTGCCAATAAATTTAATTTTGGGGAATAATTTGTGGCAAGAAAACTATTTTATAAAATCTTCATATTTGACTTCTATTTCCCGTAATTGTTTTTACACAGTCAATTAAATATGTTATAATCACATATATACTGACATATCATCTGTTCATTTAGTTTGAATTTTATAGCAAGTTAACTGTTCAAAGTTTTGTACAACTTAACTTTCAGATTTTGACCCATCTACCATACATACTAACAGTAACTTGCATTTTTGGGGATTACTGTGATACCATAGTAATAACCTCTTCTGTAATTATCCAAAATGGCAGACATTGAAAATAGTTTAAAAATGACATTTAAATTGGATCTTCAAATTTTTGACAGACAGTCTTGGAAAAGGAACACTTTTTAATTTAAATAGAAGAAAAATCTCATGATGTATGATTTTTATATTTGAATATTTCCGATAAACATTTAGTACTGTGATATCATAGAACTCCAATTTTGTTTATTGTTTTAACATATTTTATTATTATTTTATCATGTAATTGACCAAAGACAATGGATATATTGTTGTTTTTGCCCTTACAAAAAGGCTCATATCACAAAGTTATTAGCAGGTAAATTCTTTATTTTTTATTTTATTTTTATATATTTTATACTAATTTCATTTAAAAGGAAAATTGAATATTCTAGCTAACTCAGAAAGTGAAGTTTGTGAACCCTTGTGTGAATTTTCCATTGATATATATATTAAAGTATATAAACTCTTTCACACTTTCTTTGTATCTTTAATTGAAATTATCTTGTTAAATGAATTGAAAACAAATGGAACTGGCAACAC